GCTACACACCCTCCACTCATAAAGAGCCGGTGTCCTTAAATAAAGGTTTTTTAAATCCACCGCCGCTCCCTCACATGCCCAGACGCTCACGTGACACCACGGTAAGCGAAATAACTTGTTGTCAATCAGGCCCGCACGATCACCTCCCAACGGTGTTTACGCGCTCCCGAGCGAGACAAGCAGCCTCCATCCAACGGCACTGTGTCGATGATGCACGCACAGCTGCCCGGCGCTCACCGGCCCACATCGGGATAAATGTGGGACCGCAGGCCGGGTCCGGTGGAGGTCCCTGCTCTCAGCGAAAACAACACACGCCTCTCCTGTATGAACGCGAGTGGCCGTCATCCACCGCGTCCCAGCGATCAGCAGCTCACGGCGGCATAAGCGTGAGACAGCTGAATGAATCCAATGACGGGCCCCGCCCTCAGCGAGAGCGGCGCGCGTCCCTCCAGAGGAAACGTGCGCTCCCGCGAGGCTCACAACCTTCACTTCATCAGCTGACACACGCCTCGCCTCAGCACACACCGCCCCGCCCGGACATGAAGGTTGGTCCGCGATCCAGTCACAGCGCGCGGGCGCGCGCAGAACAGCCCTTTCGAGAAAGCCTCGCCTTGGGTCACGCGGAAAACATTTCCGCGACGCATGACGGCGGTCGAGGCGGAGGTTTGGATGACATCCGTTCAAAACACGGCACATCATTTAAACGCACGTCCACTCCACGAACGTCACGCAGAGTGGTTAAAAACATGCTCACCGGACAGATGGAGGGACAGAGTGTTATGCAAGGGTTACACGCTGCAGTTTGCAACCCGACCCCCTCCGTTCGGAGGAGTTATAGAGACGGTCCTGTCATCACCAGACCAAGTCTCAGCCTTAAATGCAGAAATCCAAGAGCTTCTGATAAAAGGTGTAATCTCAAGAGTTCCCAACGAGGAGGAAAACACAGGGTTTTACTCAAGCTACTTCCTGGTCCCCGAAAGGACCGGAGGGATGAGACCGATTCTGGATCTGTCAGCTTTCATCAAAGCGATCATGAACAGATTTTTTCACATGTTGATGAACAGACAGCTGTTGGACAACATCCAGGAAAACGACTGGTTTGTCTCCATCGTTTTAAAAGATGCCTATTTTCACACACCAATCATCCCAAAACACAGAAAATTTCTGCGTTTCGCCTTTCAAGGGATGAAGTACCAGTACAACAGGTTGCCTTTTTTGGGTACTCCCTCGCGCCTCGTACGTTCTCAAGTGTGTGGAGACAGCCCTGCATCCACTGCACAAGCAGGGATGAGGGTTTTGTTTTTACCTGGACGACCTGCTGCCCCTGTCTCACTCCAGACAGGAAGCATTGATACAGGCTCAGGTGTTAGCATCACACCTGCTAAATCTGGTTTTCGCCATACTGGAAGAAAAGCTCGATTTTCCCGGCCCAGATAATTGTTATCTGGGAGTGGAATTAAACTCAATTACCATGACGGCTCGTTTATCACAAACAAGAATCGACACTCTAAAAACCAATTACGCCACGTAAGACCTGGCAAAGTGGTAACAGCTGTCTCCGTCATGAAGCTGTTGGGAATGACGTCATCAGCTCACACAGTGGTCCCGCTGGGTTTGTTACACATGAGGCGCCTCCAGAGGTGGTTTACGCGTCTGCGTGTGGATCCAGTAAAACAAAAGAGACGGATGATCACTGTCCCTCCCTCCATGGGAGCAGACCTCCGACACTGGGGAAACACCCTGGCTCTGTCAGAGGGAGTCCCCGTCAGCAGATCCACGTCACGTGTCAGTCTTCACGGACGCGTCTCTGTCAGGTTGGGGTGGGGAACATGCCTATCTCAAGCAGTAGGGGCGCTGTGGCCCCACCGCACATCAGCCCACATCAATGTTTTGGAGTGTCGCACAGTGCTGAATGTGATTCAACTTTTTGCTCCCGTGCTACAGAATCAACACGTGTTGATTCACACAGACAACATGGTGACTGCTGCGTACATAAACCGCCAGGGGGGTGTGCGTTCAGCCCAGATGTTACACATTGCGCGGAAGCTACTGAGTTGGGTTCATCAAACCTGCTTTTATTAGAGCAGTTTACATATCCGATGTTCTGAACAGAGGGGCTGATGTGACGTCCAAGGGCGGCCCACGTTATGTGGACCGGATCCTCCATCCGGATCTGATGTTTTTCAGACGCAGCAGAAGTTGGCAAAGCAGCTGTGGACCTGTTTGCGATGCGAGAAGAACGCTCAATGTCAACTACGGTTTTCCCTGAGCCCGCGAGACGATCCATCGCTGGGGGGGGACGCATTTGCTCACAGTCGGTGGCCCAAAACGCTTTTTACGCGTTTCTTTCCCCCCCACCTCCTCTGTTTTTTACGGTCCATGAACCGAGTTCAAGAGGAGGGATTGACAGCCCTCCTTGGTGGCTCCCGGCGTGTGAACGCACTATGGTTCCCAGGCCTGCAACGTCTGTTGTTGGGTCGCCGTGGAACTGTCATGGAGGAAGGATGCTCTCCTTCAGGCAGGAGGAGCGACCAAGAGTTACCCAGAAATAGGTCAACACCGGTGGGTCTGACCGCTGAGCGGTTCCACTTAGAGGATGGGTCTCCCTCAGGAGATAGTGTGCACAATTCAAGATTCACGTGCTGCATCTACCACAGTTCTGTACACATCAAGGGGACGGCTTTTCAGCGCTGGTGCACAGAGAAGGTTTAGAGACCACCTCATGCCTTTTAAGCGGCGTGTTGTTTTTCTACAACAGCTGATGGATAGGGAGTTGGCTTTCAGTACGCTTTAACGTACGATTGCAGCCATCTCTTCCTGCCACAAAGGGTTTGGAGTCAGAACAGCTTTTATCACCCGCTGATGAAGCGGTTTCTAAAAGGTGTACAGAGATGTAGGCCTGTTTTCACGCCCACTTGTTTTCCACAGTGGGTTTAACGCTGGTCCTGCGAGCCCTGATCAAAGCTTCAATTGAGCCTCTGGATCAGGTTTCATTTAAATTCTTGTCTCTTTTAACAGCCCTGTTGCTGGTTTTAACACCCGCTAAGAGGGTAAGTAATTATCTGCCCTCTCTGTTGCTTCGTCATGCCTTAGAATTAGGCTGACGGGCAGCTCAGCTGATTTAAGACCAACCCAGCTTTTATGCCTAAAACATCACGAGCTCTTTTAAATCAAGAGTGATATCGTTGGAGGGGTTTTTTCCCCCCCACAGATCAGAAGAGGAAGCATCTTTTCATCTTCTCTGCCCGGTGCGGGCGTTTGACGTGTTACATAACGCACACAGCTGCAATGCGTTTCAAACTCAACAATGGTTTGTGCATTATAGAGATGTTTCTACAGGTCGCCGTTATCCATCCAGCGCTTATCACACTGGCTGTGTGAGGCCTTTTCTGAAGCCTACAGAGCATCAGATTTAGAGCCTCCTGTCAACCTCTAAGCACACTCGACCAGGGGTATCGCATCTTCGACTGCTCTGCATAATGGTTTGTCAATGCAGGACATTTGCACTGCGGTTGCATGGTCAACACCCTGCTCATTTATTCGCTTTTACCTACGTGATGTAACGGCTCGTTCCATGACACATTCTGTCCTTAGTGCTCTAACAGAATGAATATTGTTGTTCTCATGGAACTCTGTTTAAGCTCACTTCTGTCTGCATGCATTACAGTGTGAGATGTTGTTATCAGTCACAAGTCGTGTCTGTGATTTTGGTTATATTGTCACTAATCAGTTCATGATTATTGTTACCAATCAGTTCAATTGATTTATAATCAATTTATGGACATTAATCTGTTTATACTGTTCAGCCATGAACCAGTTGGTTCATGCCCCCCCCCCCCCCCCCCTTCTTTTCAACTTCTTCTTCCCGTTGAAAGTTTTCCGGGGTATTCATGCTTTGTCAGAACGCATAGCTACACAACATGCGTCTGTGCATGGCACATAATTACGCGATGCGTAGTTATGCACATGGGGAGCTGAGTGACAAGACGTTTTTTGGGCAAGCTTCCGCTTCTTACTGTGTTCGAATGGACCCAGTGAGGCGAGGACCACATCGGCTTCGCCCTTTACCCACTAAAGCGAAGGCCTTAAAGGGCGAAGCTTATATGACATAGAACGTTGGTTACGTACTGTAACCCCAGATTCTATGAATATAAGCGTAGCCCTTTAAGCGTCGGGCCTCACTGGCTCCTAAATGGCTGAAGAAAAAAGCTATTTTGGGAGCCGATTTCCCGCTCTTAACGTAATTTATACGGACCGGGTAGGGCCCACACAGCAGGTGGGCGTGGACTAATTTTTTTTCAGTGCTTATGCTCTGCATAACGGGATAAACCCACTAAAGCGAAGGCCTTAAAGGGCTACGCTTATATTCATAGAATCTGGGGTTACAGTACGTAACCAACGTTATCCCTATTCCTTTTAACAGGGTTTTCTTTAGACTGTGAATTAAATAGTGTTGGCATTTAACTTTTATAGATTAAAATGCCATTAAAAGATAATTACCTTTTTATAAAATAACAAGATGTGCAACAATAAGTAGTTCTTGTGCAAAACCAGTCTTTTAGTTTTGTATCACTGTCATGAAACTTAGAAAGAATCATCACCCACCGCATAAAAAGCTAAATGTAGGTGATGCGGTTTGTGCCTGAGTGTTTATTTACTGTTAGCATAATTTCTAATAAATCACAGGACAGATTTTAATGAAACTCATGAAATACTGTGCTCTGCAGTCATTCCAAAACCTGGGAACATTACACGTCGCTTTCACAATGTAAAATACCAATAAAACAAATCTACCAAGTATAGAACATTCAATAACAAAAAAAATGGATTTAAACAGTAGGTTTGGGGGCGTGGTGCCCGATTTTACGCATGCGCATTAGCAACTGTGAAGTAAACCCGCGGTTTCCTACTGTCTTGAAAGCAGCACGAGCTCACTCGTAAACACTGTGGGCGGCTCTGATTGGTCAAGTCGAGGAAAGACAACGTGCTACGTCCCCAGTCCGGGTCAGAGAGCACCTGAGGAGTGGAGAGACACCGAGCTCTGACGGAGCTGTCCGGCTTGAGTCCACCTCTTTTTGTCGAAGGAGACATGGCCTCTCGTGGGCCCTTCACTGACCCGGGCTGTAGCTCGTCCGAGGAGGACAGCAGCCGTGCGGACATGTCTGAAGAGGCGCGGAGCGAGGAGAGGAAACCTCCCGCGGTTCGCCGGCATCACCCGTTCAGCGTGGAGGCGCTCATGTCCGGGAGGAAGACGGTCAGCCGCGGCGGAGAGCCCACCTGCTGTAAAACGAGCCGGAGTTTGGTGGCAGCTTCGGGGTTAAACTCTGTGTATCTTTGCCGGGAGACGCGCAGTCCTCCTGGGGAGAGTCGGAGCGGCTTCCCGGCGTCTTCTCCGATCAAATGTGAAGCGTCAGAGCCGGAGGACTGCGCTGCTTCGTGGGCTGCTGCCAACACCTTCCCATCACAACCACGTAAGTTAAGTTGTATTAATAAATAAAGACTCGGCAGTAAGGTCAAACTGTAGCCTCATTTTATGTCTAAGCCAAAGCAGCAGTATTAGAGAGCAATTCACTGACCAGTTTTAAATGGCTGATATAGGCCACTTCACTTATTTATCAATAAGAACAATTAAAATGTTATATCAGCTGCTATAACTAGGTCACTGTCATGGGCTATTTATTTATTTTAGGGAGAATAGTCTTTATAGGTTATAAGTGTTAAGACATGAATGGTGTATATCAGCCAACAGTTGCTCTAAAGGTTGTCATTGGCTATAAAAAAATAACAGTCGATTTCTGTTTCCAAACTTCACCCAGTTTGTGTTAATCCATTTTTTTCTAGAAATATTTTTCTTTCTAAAACCCCACTTTTTGTGTTTTCTGCTTTCAGGTCACGTCAATCCTGGCTGTCAGCTGAGGAAGCACAAGACCAACCGAAAGCCCCGCACGCCCTTCACCACGTCCCAGCTGCTGGCTCTGGAGAGGAAGTTCAGGCAGAAGCAGTACCTGTCCATCGCGGAGCGCGCCGAGTTCTCGTCCTCCCTGACCCTGACGGAGACCCAGGTGAAGATCTGGTTCCAGAACCGCCGGGCAAAAGCAAAGAGGCTCCAGGAGGCCGAGCTGGAAAAACTCAAGATGGCAGCTGATGCCAAGACGGCCGCGGTGGCGGCGACTGCCGCTGCTGGAGCTTTACACCCCGGCTTTACGTTACCACTGTCTCTGGGGACCATGTCTCTGTATGGACAGTCATACTCCACCTATCACCACCACAGACCTGTTCTACCCATATCACCTTTGGGACTGTACACCTCTCCTCTCGGTTATAGCATGTACCACTTATCATAAAAAAAAAAAAAAAATTAAAATGGAGCTACCGTCATTCTGTTTGAAAAGAAATGGACACAGGAGATGTGCGCTTGGCCGTTTTTAAAACTAATGTTCCATCACTATTTCACACAGGAAGTGCAACTTTCAAACCAAATGAAACCAGTTTGACTCCACGTGTTTACATCTGCAGGAACTGATCAGACTGGCACCGAAACAGACTCGAGTGCTCCGATTCTGATCGAACTCAGTGCCTTGTGCCGGAAGTGGCCTTAATATCAACATACGTGGAGCTGCTCAGTCCAGATTAAACGCATCGCAAGTTTCCGAAAAGTTAGTGCCTTTGAAATACGGTCGAAGTCAGGCTTGTCTTTTTATCCTTTGCAGCACATTTATACAACATGGACTTATTTATTACTTACTAAATATAATGCTGGAAAGTTTGAATACCGTATGTTATGTATTTATGGTAGGTTCTAAAAATATGGTACAAAACTGTGGACCGAATGTGTATTTATATTCTTGAACACCCGCTCGACCGGGGCAACGTGGTTCTATGCAATTTAAATTTTTATATTTTTTCACATTCTTGTTTTGTCTCCTGAAATGAAAGCTTGTTGCATACAAATGACTTTTCTAAAGAATAAAAAAAAAAGGAAAATTAAGAGCAGATATATTTATATGAAAGTGACAGTTGTAGTGCTGCACCAGCCGTCTGACGCTTCTTTCATGAAGTTCGGCACTTCGGAGATGCAGCTACTTTTTTTTTTTTTGTTCTTTGGCGTGTGAAAACACGTGGTCTAATTGCACGTCTGTGTTTCCCATCAGTAGACGGTGGTCAGTCCGACGCAATGTTTAGCCATAAACCGACTTCACAGCAAGTTCCCGTCATCGCTGAGCTGTTGTGCCACACACTCATTAAACACGCTCCCTTTCGTAAAACCAAATTAAAAGGCTTTATTTTCTACGAAATGAAGCATATTGACCATTTGAATAATTTTCCTCAGTATCAATGACTAATATTAGCAAGCAGTCAGCATGTACCCTGTGTCATTTTACTTTTAACCACAATGTGGCAGTTTAAGCTGCTTGTTTAACAGTTAATCGTCCATATTAGTCTTTAATTTAGCTTGTGGGAAATGTGCCGATTTTCTAAACTGCCACATAATTAGTATAGACTCAAATGCCACTCTATCTTTGCAGAACTATGCTTCTCATGCCTTAATAGAGCTTATTAACAACCACTGTTAACCTGGCTTTGAATTAGCAAAGCGTGGCCCCGGTCGTCTGGTTTGGGGGCCTGTGTTTTCAGAGCCACGGGGTGAGATTTGTAGGTGTGCAGCTTTGTTACGTTGTAAAAGAGGCTCAAAACTTCCGTGTGACTTTGATGTGATGAGGAAACCGTTTATAGATGGCAGCACATTTACGAGGTTCCTCTTTAATCAGAACAGCGTGCAGAGAGAGAGAGACAGGCCAGTCAGGCAGACAGAACTGGGAGGCAAGACGAGCAGTCGGCTTAATGAAGCTCAGACTGGCAGGAGAGACTGGAACATCACACTTGTGCTACTTGGAGGAGTTAAAACATCAGCGTGGAGATTTTAATGAGACTGTCTCTGTGTGGAAAGTTGTCGTTAGCAGAGATTTGTTTTTGTCATTGTTGGTTAATACTCACCTGTCAGTGATTTGTCACATTGTGGTTTTGCATGTAACCGTCTGACCCCACTGGCTTTACTCATAGGTGTGCCTTTGTCGCCCTCTAGTGGCTATTTGTTGTATAGCACCCCAGACAGGCCTTAGATTTTTCCAGTTTAAAAAGTTGTCAGCATTAACTTTATCAATTTATCTTATCATTTAAACCGGAAAATAACACATCTGTACTAAACACGAGTTTTTTTTAGTGATAACAGTGAAAAACAAAACCAAATATTTTAAATTATAGGGGAAAAAAACAAGTAGGCTCAATTGACCAGGTAAATAAATCACTATACATTATATATATATATATATATATATATATATATATATATATATATATAAATAAATAAAACTGTCCAGATGACATGATTTATGTGTTTATAGAGCTTCATAAGGGCCCTTGTACTCGAAAAAGAAAAGTGGGCATTTAAAAAATATTTTTTATTAAAATATCTCATAAACCTCTGAATGGATTTTAATGAGACTCAAAGTAAAACTTGGGAGTTACTTCTACAATGATTCTACAACACAACACTTAATTTCTTCTGGGGGATCTGATGCTTCACTCACAATCTGCTAAATGTTGCTTGTGCTTATTGAACGTGTTACAAAACAAAAATCAGGTTTAAATGGAAATACAAAGATAATGTTTTCACGTGTCTGTGTGTTTGTGTGCCTGTTTGTTAGCAATTATTACCATTATGTCATTTACCATTATTAAAAACTAGAGACATTTTTATTAAAACTAGCAGAAAGTAATTATTGGTACATTTACTACTGATTAAATTTTGACCCTAACTCAAGATAGTCACTTTAACCAACATAAAATGGCTTAACTCTTGAGTGTCTTTGAATCCTCAGCTTATCAGTGGAGCAAAACCACACAAGCTTAAAGCTCTTAACTTGCTGGTTTTTCATTTCAAATATTTTTTTCTTCCTACATATTTAATATTTATCCAACTGCAAAGTGTCCCAGAAGTAACAAAGGGATTTAAACTTGAAAAAAATATATTAACATACTTAAATAGAAAATACAGAGAATTATTGACTCTCCAAATGTACACACAGTTCCAAGAATTATTGACTCATCTGTGTGTGCTGGGGTTAATTGGATTAAACCAATATGTTTGTCATGACAAAACAGATCGATACGAACTCACAAGGTTAACATGTTTGTGGAGTTTGCAGTTTTTGGTCTAAGTGTGCTGCGTTTACATCAAAATGTATAGATTTATCAAAGCTTTCATACGAATCCTGAAACTGTTCCGTCAAACTCATGTTGGATGCAAATTAGAGTCAGATTTGCTCATTAGATGAGCTTGATTATGCAATATTTATCTCTGTGGGAGTTCTGCTTCTGTTTGTGACATTTGCAACATATTCCACAGATAAACCACGTGCTGCGTTGTGCAACCACTTAACATTCTTGGCACAGGAAAACATTGGCAGATACGCTAATTAGGCTTATAAGCAAGCATGACCTGCAGTTGAGCAGTGGATTGAATGCTTCTTAGTCACAGTCAAGCTGAAATGCTAAAATAATCTCATCTCACAGAGACCTCTGAAAGCGCTACAGCAAATATGCCTTTATGGCACTCAAACTGTGAGCCTGACATCTTGAACAGGCCATTAACAGTGAATGCTATGCTGCGTTATCTGAAGCGGACATGGCCTCGGAGGGACTCTCGTACACTTGATGTGGCATTACAAGAGGAAGTTGGAGTTGGCTGGTTTAAAATGACAGTTGGCTCACAAATGCAGAAGTGCTGCACCAAAACATTTGTTTTCGGTTAAAATACAAAACCCAACACAGAGACTGGTCCACCGGACAAAACACCCATGCACAAACAGAGTGGTGGATGCAGGTCAGTGCAGTGAGGAATGTCCATATGTCTATATTAGAGAAACCAAAGCTTCTCCACAGACGCATGGCTCAACACAGGAGAGAGACCTCCTCAGGACAAGACTCAGCAATTCACCTACACCTCAAGGATAAGGGACACTCATTTTGGACCGAGAGGACAGATGGTTTGAGACGTGGGTGAAGGAAGCCGTTTATGTAAAGAGAGAGAGAAACCATCTTTAAACAGAGGACGAGGACTCAGATTTCAACTCTCTAAAACTTATAATGCAGCTTTAGGCCTGATAGTCATTTTCACACCTGTCAGGAATTTCATCCATGTGACCAGAGTGGCTCCTCTGTGAGTCAAACTAACAAAGACCCTAACAATCCTCTATTGTGAGGATTGTCCTTGGACACGCTCACGGGCCTCGTCATCTCCCCTCCCCTGCGGAATGTCTGCGTCACTTATGTGCGGGGTGTTTTTTTTCAATTTCAGTCTCTCTTTCCTCGGCCAAGGAATGAAAGTCTGCTGGAATTTTTTTTGCCTACAAATCCTATACATATTGTCACTTTCATTACTTTTTTGTTTGCCCAAACAGGTCTCAGTTGTAAATCAGTCTTCGAGGCTCAATGTGATTTATCTGTATAAATAAAAGGTTGAATGAGTCAGAATCAGAGATTCGTTATTGTCATTCGCACCTCATGTGGTACATGTGGTGGAGCGAAATTATGCACACAGGGTCCCAGTTACATCCAACAATAAAATGTAAAAGAAAAACAATGATAACATCCAAGATATTAAGAAAAACATAAACTAAATATACACTAAGCACTCATAACATAAAAACATTACGTCGCACATCAGCACAAACATGGACATGTGTCTGTGTGAGCAGATGAGTGAATGAGGAGTGAGAGGACAATCTGCACATGTATCTAGTTGAGCTCAGCTTTATAACTCGAACCCCACACTCTCTGTTCTTTGAATTGAAAAAGCTCCTCGATGAGAAGCGAAACATCTTCTGTTACAAAATAAAGTCCAACTGTTTTTGTCTTGAACTTTTTTTTTTTGAGAAAACCAAACTCACCATTCTAAGAGTAATCACAGAAGACATGTAGGTGACTAACAGCCATTCAGGCTGGCAACGAGTTTGTTTAAAATAAAAATTGGTTTTCGATCATGAATCAAATTGTCTGAACTGATTTAAAATCTATTTTTATTTTAAATGAACTCACCGTAATTCATTGAAAATGCCATTTACAACTAAAGATGTAAAGTTTTCTTTTATTTGAACAGTTCTATAATAATTATTCCATCATTATCCATATTACTGTCTCATCAACCACAGAGTCATCGAACCCTCTGGTGTTGACACAAAGAGTAACCTGTTTGCAAACTGAAATTCTGTAGGGGGCGGTACGGTGGTGCAGTTGCCTGTCAGTGAGAAGGTCACCGGATAGAATCCCAGCCAGAAACCTTTCTGGGTGGAGTTTGCATGTTCTCTCCGTGCATGCGTGGGTTTTCTCCAGGTTCTCCGGTTTCCTCCCACAGACGAAAAACGTGCATGTTAGACTGAATGGTAACTCTAAATTGTCTCTAGGTGTGAGTGAGAGAGTGAATGGTTGTTTGTCTTGTTTGTCTCTATGTGTCCCTGTGATGGACTGGAGACCTGGCCAGGATGTCCCCCGCCTCTCCCACAGTGACTGCTGGATATGGGCACCAGAGACCCATGTGACCTGAAAAGGAAGAAGCAATGGATGGAAGAAAATTCTGTAGGATAAAAAATGACTCACTATTTAAGTCCAAACAGTTAACAAAAAAAGTATAGGTCAAAAGAATTACCCCCAAGATATCTATATGACTGATCTCTTTATGCTAGGGGTATAAACACACCTATTTCAAAAGATCCAAAGGTTCATTTTCTACCTGTAGGAAACACCTGTCTGAAAAAAAACTGAGTCTGCTGAGATGACCTATAGAACCTTGCAGATACATCATCCATCTTTGTTTAATAAAGACTGGTTTAAAGGTAGTAACATGTGCCAGGAACCCACAAGATATGGTAAATGGATTGTACTTATATAGCACCTTTCTATTTTATCTGTGCCCTCATTTACTCATTCATACAGCGCTCTACTACATCTCTA